GGCAAGGCGGCAAATGATCCACATCCTTACCTCCTGCAAGGGCAAGGTGGCAAATGATCCACATCCTTACCTCCTGCAATGAAGTCTGGTCTAGCTGAGAAGGGAGGAACTGGGAAGACAACGTATTTCTGGCATGTGGCATCATCAGTAATCCCTGACGTGGCCCCAAGCAGACCCCTCCCTTCTCCAGGCCAGTCACAGAGCTGTTGCTAAAATGGATTACCCTGCAGCTGCCCAGGATGGGGAAGATATTATTAATTCTGTAAAGAAATCAGGAACACATCCTATTAAAACAAAAGCAGAGCCCTTTTTCCCTAGGACCAGCCCCCTAAATTCAGGGACTATCCTTAACAAACCAAGGGTGTCTGGTCACCCTACCCATTATGTCACATGAGTGAACCAAAGATCTCAGGAAAAAGGTATGTATACTGATTTGAATAAAGTAAAACTTCACTTATGCTTTTGTTAGCAGCTAAATGTATTACTTGGTCTTAAAATACACATGCATTTATCAATTCTAAAGTGTATGTGAGACCTTTCAGTTCTTTTTACACAATATACACTGTTACAAGTGCAGTGGATTAACTGAATTTTAGCATGCCTCTAACTCTGCTTTGGGTTGGTAGAGGCATAGAGACAAAGCAGTGATTTCACAGCTCTGTTTTGTCACATAATCCCTGGCCAATCAGAGTGATTTCTCCCAGAGAACTGTATTGTTTGCACTTGGGAACAATATCAATGACTCTTTGCTTTGTGAAAGTCTGTGACATTTAAAAAATCTCCTCCTGCTGGCTATTGTATTCAGACAGCTGCAGCACCCATTACTGTCTAAGGCCCCATGTACATGGGACGTTTCTGAACGATGGAAACCGACTGCTGGAAAACGTAGCTTAAAAAACGTATGTTTAGCTGCGTTTGTATAACGCGCTTATGCACGTGTTGCGTTTAGAAGAGTTTTTTAAAGATAAGCACAGGAGAGCCTCCCAAATGCCCAGAATGCACTGAAAAGTGTTAAATTATTAACTATGACAGACTGTTTCAGAAAAATACAGAGAGTAGAAGCAGAGAGAGCAGTATGTGTTGAGATTAGTTTAAGTGTGAGTTGCTCAATAACATTTCTTTTGCTCCCAAGGGTGGGAAAAGAGTGAGTTGCTCATTAACAATTCTTTTGTTTCCAAGGGTGGGAAAGGTGTCTGCTGGAGTGAGTCATTAAGGTCACCTGGCAGGGGGTCTTCATGAGAAATTTGTGGTGTGAATGGGCATTAACATATCTTTTTCCAAGGGTGGGAGAGGTCTGAGGTGTGAATTGGTCATTGCAATGTGTGACAAGCTTGGTAGGAACATCCTGTGTTCAGTGTTGTCCATCTGAGCATCTTGAAAACTCTTTGCATGCATTTTTCATGATGAAAAAAGGCTCTGGACAGCAGTGAGAACTGGACGAGTTTAAAAAAAATTTTCAAACACAAACACTTATAAACACGATTTTCCTTGTTTACATGCGTTTACAAGTGTTTGCGTTTGAAACGCTGATAAAATCGACAACTGAACGCAAGTTTGTTGCGTTCGAAAAAACGACTGTAAACTCAACTGCCTGTAAAACGACTGTAAATGAAGATGTGTACATGGACACATAGGAAAACATTAGGGAGAGTTCAGGAGCTGCTGAAAAAATTGCTGAACAGCTCCTAAACATGAGTTTAGCAGCTGCAGTGTACATGAGCCCTAAATACCTGAACAGTGATTGCATTTTATAGATTGCAGTCACTGTACAGCCAACAGATTTTCATCTGGCTCACTGGATTCGTCCTTTGACTTTTGACAAGGTGGGTGATGCTTGCAGGTCCACTCATAATATGAATTTCAGCCAATTCAGCAGGAATAAGCAGGTTTTAGAAACAGCCTAATCCTGTAACCTGTGGTAAACTCAGGGGCACATTTTGTAGATTAGTGACTATTGTTACTGAGACAGAAAGTGAGGGAAAATCCATAATGTTGGAGTTGTTACTAGGGCAAGAGGTGAGGAAAAACCCTCCAATGTGACAACTCTCTAACGTTGGAAATACATAGTTAGTTTTTTCTGTTTTTCCAGTGGTCTTGTAAGCAGGTTGAAATACTGGTTGGTGAGACTGCTGCTGCCCCAGCCTGGAAGGAAAGAGTTTTTCTGGGCTCTGCTTCTCTCCCTGTGCTGATAATAAAAGGGGGAGGGTTCTGCCCAGACAGACAGTCTTCAGCATGGGAAAGAAGACACAGACAACCAGCAAGAAGTAATCTCCACTGCTGTTTCAGTCTGAGCCCAGCAGAGCTAGTAAACTTGCGGCATGAGTGTGATGGAGCCCTCAGAGATCCAGTTGGAGAGCCACAAAGTCCTGTGCTTGTGTCCAGTTGCTTCCAGTGTCCAGAGATCTTCCACAATGTAGGTGGATTGCTGGGCCCGAAGCCACCAGTATGGTGGACCATCTCCTATAAGGACTTTCTTTAGATGGACTTTTGCCTGTGCTGGTATGCTGGGGCAGCCGCTGTACTTAGGGACTAGGTTAGGGAAGAACTGTGTTCTGTCATCTGGAATGCTCAAGTTATTTAAGTAATGTATTGAAACATTGCTTTTGCCTGGTCTGAAGTTATTCTAAAGGGGTGTATGTAAGTAACTGGCACACATGTAGTATCCAACCTGGGTCAATAGACACATGGGGGTTTATTTACTAAAGCTGGAGAGTCCAAAATCAGACTCCCTTCTGCATAGAAACCAATCAGCTTCTAACCTCAGCTTGTTCAATGAAGCTTTGGCAATGAAACCTGGAAGCTGATTGGTTTCTATGCAGAAGGGAGTCTGATTTTGGACTCTCCAGCTTTAGTAAATAAACCCCATTGGGTATGAAGACAGCAGTGGTTACCAAGGGTTGTGAAGATTTCACATGCAACCTGGATTTCATTCCTTTACTGGAAGTGAGGTAGTGGAGAAACGCTGGACAGTTGGAGAGGGAAACCGCTCTGCGTGTCCCTCCTAAATGCAAAAAATGACAGTAGTATTGACATGGTGCTCAAGAGTTATCTAGAGTCTAGTTATCTGTTCAAGTGTACACAGTGTACAGCCATCTTTGAGTTAGAGGTCTGTGTGAACGTTAAGTTATCCCTGAAAGCAACTTGCACTGATGAGCACGGCACAGCAAAGGTACCCCATGTGCAAGGCGACTGGCCCTGTTACAGTGCTAAGCCTCTTATGTTACCTACACTTTGCGCTGAACGAGAATTACCACCTACATACCCCTTGCAACATGAAAAAAAAAAAACCTAACAGCAGTTTATACTTAAAAGAATACAAAGCCAGGTTTTGGTATAGTAAATTAATGTATCTCACTTAGCCCCATTACCTCAGTGCTGCCTCCAGCATCTCCTGTGTATTTTAGGCAGGTAGGCTGGAGAAAAGCATCTACTTGTGACGACCATGCCATTTATGGTCTTCATGGAGGCAACATCCATGGGTGGAGAAGCTTGTTATCGTACAGAAAGATATTCCTACTTGTCAGAAGTGTTGCCTGCATGGGGGCCAGATCCTTTATTCTTTTTTGCAGAGGCAAACAGAAGAATAATGAACTTCTACTGCTATCTTGATGAAGTGAATATTGCTTCAGATCCTGGTGTGCAAGGACAGATAGGCATCTCCTGGTCTGTTGTTATCAGAGAGATATTTGCATGTTTAGAGATCAATTTGGGCTTTACTATTATTCCTCAGTACAAGTTAATGTAAGTTCCTTTGTAAAAGGCACCTCAAATGCTATGTACACCATTGCTCATGTCTGCTGACCTTCTGTGTTATCAACAGCTTTCTGTATTAGGCCTCATGCACACTGGGCATTTTAAAAAACGCTGATAGCGTTAGCTGTATAAAATTGTGTTAAAAATGTGAGTTTTTTTGCATTTTTTAGCATTTTTACATTAGCGTTTTGCCACGTTTAGCTGCGTTATTCCACGTTAGCATTTTTAAGCACAAAAAAGAAAAAATTTGGCTAAAAAAAAAGCTCAAAAACACCAGATTACCGCCTTTTACAGCGTTCACCAGCCTTAGAGCATTTCTACAGCTGAAAAACTTCTTTTGAAATTTGTTAGTTCTGGGGGGATTTTTTTCAAGCCAGGAAACACCCCTGCCACAAAATGCTGATTAAAGCCGATGTGGGCAGCATGGACACATAAGATAACATGCTGTGAAGTTTACTGGCTGTAGGAAAAAATGCCAAAAGCCAAAACAGCAGCTGTAAAAATGCCCAGTGTGAATGAGGCCTTAGAGAAAGGTATTGTGAATTTATCAGTGAATTACAATCATTGTGGGGTCCAGATTTTTACAAGTTAAACAATTTAAAAAAAAATAGTTTCTTTTGGCTACATAACATATTTAAATTGGCTGCAGTAGCTAATCTGCCCCTAGCTATACTGGTGACCACCCAGAAAGTTATATCTGCAAACAGATTGTAAAGATATGTAATGCTAGATTAGCATAACTGCAGTTTATAATTTAATAGGCAATTTAAAAGAAGATATAAACTCAGAAACAATTACTGAATAGTGGCCAGTGACAGATATATGGCTGGGTGGTAAAATTATATACACATAACTAGTTTTAATTCTGCATGATACAGATTAAACATTAAAGTGGAAAGCAGTGAATGCAGTTATGAAGTGAAATCCCTATCAGAGCGAGAAAGGTGCTGAGATGACAAAGAGAAGCTGTACAGCTCACAGAGAGGAAATTGTGAACAAACCAGCGTCATGCTACAAAGGGGTGACAACATCAAGGTGTTGAACAATGCAATAGTTCTGGCTTGAAAGGAAATCAGTAAAGGAATGTGGGCCAACAAGCCTCTTCTGAAAGCTAAACTACAATTCAAAAATATGTAGGCTTCTACTGCTATTGATGATTTCCTTCTGAAAAATACTAGCTGCATGACAGTCTCTGATTTCAGTCTTTTCTGAGTTACTATACTGGATCAAGTGAAGACAGTGCAGTCAGAACTCCTTAAAGGCAGGCGTTGAAATTTCCACTCGCCTGCTCGCCAATGGCGAGTGGAAATTATGGTGGGGGTGAGTGTGTCCCCCAGGGCTGTCTTGCTGAGCAGGCTTGGAGCTCAGGCCGGATCTGTCATTGGCACTGGGAGCTGTCAGACTGCTCAATAGCTGAGCGCAGTGAAAGCAAAGCAAGGAGTGTGTGCTGTGCTCTCTGCATCCCCCTAGAGTGCAGTACCCGGCTCTGTGAGTGAACAATGAAGTACTGCAACTTTTTATAGGGGTGTGTGTGTCTGTGTGTTTCTGTGTATGCATGTACATGTGTGTATCTGTACATGTGTCTGCGTGTATGTGTGTGCATGTACATGTGTGTGTGTGTTTGTGTGTATGTACATACATGTGTCTGTGTGTACATGTGTCTGTGTATGTATGTACATGTGTCTGTGTGTATGTACATGTGTCTGTGCATGTGTATTTCTGTGTATGTACATGTATCTGTGTGTATGCGTGTCTGTACATGCCTGTGTGTGTATACATGTGTCTATATGAGTGTGTGTACATGTGTCTCTGTGTAAAAACTGTCTAAATAGATAAGGGGTGTCTGTAAAAACTGCCTATGTAGATAGGGGGTGTCTGTAAAAACTGCCTATGTAGGTAAGGGGTGTCTGTAAAAACTGCCTATGAATGTGTTACCATTCATTCTCATCTACGTGTTTCCTAATTCACATCCACCCACAAAAAAATGTATGCTTTGCTGTGCGTTTAGAAAATGTGCAGTGCACTTGCATTACTATTCGTTTGCATCTGCACCTTTGAGAATGCACAGCAAGCCTCTGCCATGTGTTTTGAAAATGTGTAGCAATTTAGGCTACATCACAGGAAACGTGTGCTTTGCTGTACATTTCAAAAATGCAGGGCAACATATTTCTCACACCAACTTGTATCCAAAAACAATGACAAGTCTATGGCTTCGTTTTGTCATTTTATTAGGGGAAATCTACTTGGATAGGGAATAGGGATTATGGAATGCCCAGTTTGGCTTGAAACAATGGAAGAGGGACACTTCCTTCCTATGTACAAAAGCAGATCCTGGACTGCTCTTTTCCTGAAAGCTGTCACTTGTTGCGGATCAGTAGCAGCTGTCCTTTATGGGAGAAGAACTAGCAACCCTTCAAAAATATCTTTACTTCTTGTAGCTACAGAGACTTCTTCTCTCCTCTTATGGAGCTGCTCCCAGCTCCACAGCCTACAAGCACTACCAGCCCTCTTGGCTTCTCGGAAGATCTCCCAGGACAAGGATTAAGGACTGAGCTTAGAAAGCTTGCTACATTTGGCAGTCTTTCCTTTTGTAGATCTCAAAGTGTGCTGCTTTACTCACACTGTCCTCCTTGCTTCCTGCTGTCCCAGGCCTTGATCTTATCTGCGCCTCTCCACAGAATGTATCCTCCTAAGCCAGCCTAGAGGCCACACCTCCCCCCGACTTAGAGGACCCCTCCTAGGCATCGACAGTCTCCTGAGCACTCCATTTTCCACCCAACTCTTCTGTCAGCCTGACTCTCCCATATTAATAGGGCAGTCCACTACTCTACCAGGGTCTCCATACCTGGGATTGGCTGGACCGCCATGAATATGCAGATGAGGCCTCAACCCCTTCCTGCTTACCGACTTCTAGAAGGTTCTATGGTCCTCCAGAGTCAGGAGGAGGCGAAAGAGCCACAACCTGTTGAGTCATCCAGCTGACCTGCAATAATCCGACCTTAATCACATGACTCACACAACTGCCATTAGTCATACACAATGATTTGGCTGGTAAAATGTCTCCTGAGCCCAGGAGCAAGGGCATCCCATAAGAAAAATGGAAAAATATACATTTTCTTCTCAAGATTTAAATAATACATATGTACATTTTTGACTACAGGTTCCTGTAACCAGCAAGTAATCAAACCAGAACATATATATATATATATATATATATATATATATATATATATATATATATATTCATCCTGCCTGCAGATCCCTGTGGCTAGTAAATATACTTTAACCACATCCCTGCCACCCTATAGCAGAAATACTGCTACAGGGCGGCAGGGGTGCGCAAAATCACGTATATACACCCTGTTCCAAATTATTATGCAAATGATATTTTTCTAATTTACCTGAATAATTGATGTAAATAACAGTCAGCATAATTCTCATGTTATCAACTATTAAGAGTACAATTCACATTTTATTGAACAAACCTCCTAATGATGACAGTATTTTTTTTTAAACATAAAGAACTTCCAATGCACTGTTCCAAATTATTACGCACAGAAAGTTTCAAAACACATTATAGGTTGTAAAGAATTGAAAATTGTCATTTGTTGTGTTTGCAGCATATTTACTGAAATCAAAATTTATCTGCACGAATCAGTCTGTGCTCTGAATCAGCCACAAATCTCTTAATAGTGCGATGATCATGCTTACGTTTTCGTGAAATATCTAATGTTTTCATTCCTCGTCCAAGGCATTGAACTATTTCACTCTTTTCGGCAGCAGAGAGATCCTTTTTCTTCCCCATATTGCTTGAAAACGGTGCTCTGCTTAATAATGTGGTAGTAGTTTTTCCTTAAATTGGGCTCACCTGCCAATTTAATTATCACAGGTGTCCAAGATTGTTTTCAGTGATCAAAAGAGCCCTGACACACAATGCCATCCATGAGTTACACTGAAAAACAAAATATTTCATCTTTGTGACACTTAAATAGAATTTGCATAATAATTTGGAACAGGGTGTATGTGTGATTTTGTATTTCTGGCCATTTGTGCCCACTGCTGTCAATCACCAGGTCCTGGCTTGTGATTAGCCGCCGATGCCCAGTGATTACCAAGGATCTCAAATGGGGAGGAGGACCGTTTTGTTTACTAACAGTCCTCCTCCCTGTTGGCTTGGGCACACTGCTCTGGATGGCTGTGCACAGCACAGCCATCCAGAGCAGTGTGCTTACAGTGAAGCACCACCACACCGCCCCCCAGTAAAACACTCCCAGCACAGAGTTAACCCTTTGATCGCCCCTCATGTTAACCCTTTCCAGCCCACTACCATTAGTACAATGTCAGTGCTTTTTTTTTTTAGGACTGATCACTGTATTGGTGTCACTGGGGATGTCAGTGACACCAAGTCAGTTCCCCCTAGTGTCAGAATGCCTGCTGCAGTCCCACTATAAGTCGCTGATCGCCGCCATTACTAGTGAAAAATAAAAACAAATTCCAGTAAATTGGGATTTTTTTTTCAGCAAAGACATGCAGCAGAATACATTTTGCCCTAAATTTATGACAAAATTTTATTTTTTACATTTTTTACTGGACATGTTTAATAGCAAAAAGTCAAAAATACTGTTTTTTCTCAAAATTGTCATTTTTTTTATAGTGCACAAAATAAAAATGCACAGGCGATTAAATACCACCGAAAGAAAGCTCAATTCTTGGGAAAAAAAGGGATGTAAATTCCATTTGGTTGCAGCGTTGCATGACCGCGCAATTGTCAGTTAAAGTAATGCAGTCCCATAACTCAAAGAATGGCCTGGTCAGGAAGGGGGGTAAATCCTCAGGAGGGCAAATGGTTAAGCCAATATGGCTATCAACGCACTATAAGGCAATAAACACATATATATATCCTAACTACAGCTCCCTGCAGCTAGCAAATTTGTTAAGCATATATACACAAACACAACATATTATCAATAGGCAATCTATACACACACATTTTGTTCTTGTTGAAGCACCAGTTTGCTGGTGGGCGTCCCTATAGCAGGAGGTGCTTGTGTGTGAAAATCCCAGTAGACCAGAAGTTTTTGAAATATTCAGACCAGCCCGTCTGGCTTCAATAATCATGCAGTGTTCAAAGTCACTTAAATTCCCTTTCTTCCCCATTCTGATGCTCGGTTTGAACTTCAGCAAGTTGTCTTCACCATGTTTAGATGCCTAAGTGCACTGGGTTGCTGCCATGTGATTGGCTGATTAGCAATTTGTGTTAGTAATTGAACAGGTGTACCTAATAAAGTGGCCGTGAGTGTGTGTGTGTATGTATATATATATATATATATATATATATATATATATATATATATATAACATATACATCAGTCCCTGCTCTCAAGGAGCTTACAATCTAAGGTCCCTAACTCACATTCATACATACACATACTAGGGCCAATTTAGGCAAAAGCCAATTAACAGACCAGCATGTCTTTGGTGTGTGGGAGGAAACCAGAGTACCCAGAGGAAACCCACATAGGTACAGAGAGAATGTGCAAACTTCAGACAGGTAGTGCCACAGTTAGGATTCAAATCATCAGCCCTAGTGCTGCCAGGTGGAAGTGCTAACCACTTCGTCATCAGGCTTGTATATATCATGCAGGGGGAGATGCTGTGAGCTTAGTTCCTATTTAGAAATATGCCACAGAACTACATCTCCCAAGAGCTCTTTCCCTATGCATAGTGTATGTGTAAAGTCACAGGAGGCAAGGCAGCAACATAGTTTTGCTAGGAAAGATATACATGAATGCATGTGATGGGGAACGGAAATGGATGGGGGTACACAGAGTTCTGTAGTCCAGCAGGCAGGATTGACCAAGCTGGTTGGAATTTCATTGCAGCAAAGGCACTTTGTTGTCAGCCCAAACAAGATGTTAGGTACTCACTGGCAGATTAACAGGTATTGTTAAGGAGATGTAACACTGTAACATGTGTATGTATTAAAAAGGTGTATTGAACATGATTTTATTTTGCCTTTAATGTGTGAAAGAGTTTGTGGCACTGCTGTAAGCTAGAGAACGAGGAAATCACCCCGCTGGTATAGGAAAGGGAACAGCATCCATGGACCCTGCTCAAACCAACCCAAAGAGTCCGATGTGTGTAGGATGTCCTTACCCACCAATCCAGCCATCCAGCCATGCCCCCTGACGTGTTTCACCTTGCCCCCCCGATCACAGGGCGAAACGCATCAGGGGGTGTGGCCATCCTACACACACCAGACTCCTTCGGCTGGTTTGAGCGGCGTTTATTTTGCCGTTGCCTTATTTGATTTGTTTGTTTGGAATTATTCTTTAACTAGTTCGAACACCACTAAACTCATGTTTTTTTTTTTTAAATCCTTTTACCTGTTATGATGAATTGTACCCATTTGCTTTGCCGATCCAGAGTTGTCCTGCTCCAATCCACTGTTCAGTTGTCACAGACCAGGACCTTCACTACCATCCTCCTTCTCCGAAATGATTGTGAGCCAGCTGCCCCTTCTGGGTTCAAGCAACTGGCTCCTGATGGTATGCGCCAGCTCTGCCCATGGCATTTGTGTGTCCCTACTTATGCAGCTCCTTGAAAATATTCCAAGAGGCTGCTATACTAAGCCTTTAATATCACTTTAATTTCCACCTAAATTATTGTTTGAAAACCTTCTTTTGTAGTTAGATACAATAGTATTCAAGTGCCTCCAATACACGCACCTCAGAAAACACTCACATTTTAAAACTGTTTCACGGCCTCCAAAATAGAAAAAAGAACCGAAGGGAAGATATAAT